GGTAAAATTTCAGGTCAAAATTCCGTAACTTGATTTTCTCGTTAAATACCTAGGTATAGGTCGAAAAATCAGTAAAACGACCATAACTTTTCAAGGAAGAGCTGTCAGCCCAAATCCTTTTAGGCTTTTTGCTATCTCGATACCCTCTATCAAACGACGTACGAATGAAGAGAATCGGCGTTGGACACCTCGGGAGGTTCCCTCGTCAGTTTGCTTGTTAAAACATATTATCAGTTGGATGAAGGGCAACATAATTTATAACGTTTGCATCGTAATAGAGTGATGTTTATATCAATACTCGTTTTGTCATTGCAGTTACGATGATAAGAACGTAATACTACTAAATAAGAATGAAGAAAACTAATGCGAAAGTATTTTATATTCTTAACAAAAAAACATTTATTAGGCACGTTCATAGAGAGAAAGAAAAAAAAACAGTGAAAGGAACACCGCATATTCTTTTTTTTCTCGAATGATGATCGTAACAGCAATGTTAACAAAAGTGATCGCAGTATCAGAACAGGTTTCTAGAACAACTTGTGCGATATGTAATCTTCGGTCAAATTCTACATTATATGACGCTTGCAAGTCTGAAACTCGCGAAGACTCTTATCTTTTTCTTTTAACAAGACTCAAGGACAAAGGTAATTATTCTCTTGGGCTGCAAGCGAAATGTATCGATATGTATGATGTCTTCGATCATTTTCTTGTTCCTGACATTCCTGTGATGTCGTTCAATCAAAGTGTTCATACTGTCGATGAACATGCGGAGGAACGTCTTGAGGCACACACGATGATGTCCACGAAAGAAATGATTTCTATTCAGGTGGCTGGTGATGTTAACTGCTTATTTCACACGTTGCGAACATTCTATCCAACGATGACCATAGATGAACTATGTGCTCGCTGCATAGATGAGTTGTGCACACATAAACATCCAGATTAAAAAAACCAGACGTCATGCCGTATCAGGTCTTATAAGATCTTATGCATACAAGATTTTCTATAGGATCGTAGGCAAATATCACTCATGACCCTATACTCAATACTTTTTGCAAGATTTTGTATGATTCGTATTGTACGACTCAAGCGAAAATCTTACAAGATGCCAAGTTTAAGAAACGTACAATAACAGACTGCATGATTCTTGTCAGATCACATCAGATCGCATAAGATTCATAAACAAATAAACATATAACAATACTATAGTCAGATTTTGCATGCTTCAATCTGATTGTATTGGACCAGATGCATGTTTTTTTCTTATTAGAGAATTGATGACCAAGTTCTTTTTCCTTATAAATAATATACAGATAACTAGTGGGAACCCGTACATACTGCCCGGTTGTTTGTGTTCATCACCGAAAGCAAGGTTTTTTCAAAGGTAAGGATATTGTCATACATGTGATTAGAGCTCTCACCTCTATTATTTCCACGCTAGTGTTTGGGCGGAGAAATGCGTGTGAACAGTTGTAGGTTTGAAGGAAGGCTTTTAGACCTAGGCATGCCATGGGTGTTACTTCATGATCTGCAACATAATCGCAACCTCAATCACACACACGCCACACCGGATGCCCATCCACGATCACTCTATAGCACCCACTAGCATTACCCTCATTCCCTTGTCTCGCCTTCCGCACCACATCCACAAAACCACACCCTCCTCACTTCCGCACCGCACCCTGTCACATCCGGCTCTCACGTCCCAGGATCATATCCTTAGACCAAATACCTTCACGCCGCATCTTCTAACTCTCACACGACATCCATACCCGACGCACAGGACGCTCCCCTCATCCCTATATCTTTACTTCACATTCTACGCCGGACCTAACCAACCGATTCTTACTCCACTACACCCTACGCCCAACCATACCATGACATTTGACCTTTCACCTTTAGTCTGACCACAGATAGACACACAAACACACACTCAACGTTATGTACAGCGGTTTGCAAAAAGACTTGGAACAATCTTACAACATTAACATTTTTTATTTTCTAGATTCTCTTGATACTTTGTTTTGCGGCTATTGTAGATTTATACTGAGCAGACTATCCACTAAAAATATTCACATATGTGGTTGGTTGTTATTCTATTGTTGTTTAATCTGTACTGGGGAGTGTCTAGGCACTCTCAGGAGGCCTGATACTGCGTACAGTGTTGGGATGGGGTCCTCTGGAGTCCGGCAGCCAAAAAGTCTTATCCTCGGACTAGTCATCCGTCGGTTGGACGTAAAACAATACTTGACTAACGAAAACGAACAAACAGAAATAGTTAGTACAACTAACATAACGCGTTTTGGATCATGGAATGTCAGATCGTGTTATCGTGTCACTAAACGTGAACTAATTGTTCGCCAATTAAAAAGATACCAAATAGAGGTCGCAGCATTAGCTGAAACCAATATACCGGATTCCGGTATTTACGTAATGAATGGATACACATTCATCCACTCTGGAGCAGTGGGAAAAGAACGTTCAAGAGCGGCTCACGGAGCAGCTGTGTGCCTGGACCCAAAAGCATCTCGTGCTTGGAGAAATTCCGGCTCCATTTGGAAATCAGTCAACTCGAGGATAGTAACTGTTCGCATTAAATGTCAGCCTATACCGATTACTGTTATAGCCGTCTATGCACCAGTGAACCCCTCAAATGGCTTAAAAGCTTATGTTGAGGCCTGTGATGAGTTTTATAAAGCTCTTCAATCATCAATTGATAATACTAATAAAGGCAATATCATATTGATTATGGGTGACTTCAACGCTAGAGTAGGAGTAGAACAGACTAGCTCAGCTCAGAGCGTAGTTGGTAAACATGCAGTTGATAAGCAGAACCAAAATGATCGTCGACTGGTTGATTTCTGTCTGTTCAATGGATTCGTGATTACTAACACATTCTTTCCTCATAAACCAGTGCACCAAACAACGTGGATGCACCCGAAAACTAAACAATGGCACATGCTTGACTATGTACTTGTTAATCGTAAATTTCGAAATAGTATCCAGGACGTTCGTGCTCATCGAGGCGCAACTGGCGGCATTGGGACGGATCACCATCTTTTAAGAGCTAAAGTCCGTATACATCTAAAATGTCGCAAAAGGACAGCTGAGACAGGTTGGCTAAGGCTTGATTATGAAAAACTGAATAACGAAAGGTCATAAAAAGTGAGCTCCACACGTAAACTCCAAATTTGGAGCTCATTTACGCCTCCATATTTTACAAATAAAATAGAGTCCATGTTTTCTGATTAGTAGCAGTCAGACCCCATTTCACTAAGATACTAGGTCGAGAGTTATACCCGGTGTCCAAAACGTATAGTGCCTAGGATGCTAGTAGCATTACCCTGAATGCTGGTAGCATCACCTGGGTTGCTAGGGGTGTGCATGGGTGGGTAGGGGCAGGGGTCGTTAAGTCCTATTTTTCAAAAAATAGATGCTTCTGGATGAAAAATTTTTTTTTTTAAATTTCAGGTGTTTTCGAAAAATTTTTTTTTCTCAAAAGGTTGGTTTCTGCGTTAAAAAAAAACTTTTAGGAAAAAAATTTTTTTTTCCTCATATAGTAGTTCGGGAGCCCTACCCGTACTCGCACACACACTACTAGCGTCACAGGTAATACTACTAGCATCCCAGGTAATGCTACTTGCATCCCAGGTCGTTCTTTAAGGGAATTCAACATTTGGAGTTTACACGGTTTCGAGGTCTTTGTCCTGACCTGAACTTTATGACCTCAAGTGAAGTCAATGAGTAAAACGTCGATGCCTAAGTGAGCTCCAAATTTGGAGATTACGCAGTGTGGAGCTCACTTTTTTTGACCATAACGAGAAATTGGTAGCTGAATTCCAGGCTGAATTACTAAAACACCGAAATAGTACACAGGCAGACAACAAAGATCTATCTGTAAACGAGAAATTTACACAACTTACTGATTATGTAAGTGAACACAACAAAGAATACTTTGCAAAAGATCAAAGGTACCAAAAGAATACTAAAGAGTGGTTCACACAAGAAATAGCTGATATCGTGGACAAAAAAGCTAAAGCTTATGTACAATGGCAACGTCATCGTGGTACAATGGATGAAAATAAATATAGGAATCATTATCGAACGTTGGCTAAGACAGTTAAAAATAAAGTAGAGGCTAGACAACGAGAATATTGGGAAGAAATAAGTGTTGACATCGAAAATGCAGTGAAAGACCACTACCCAGCAGCTGCATTTCAAATTATACGACGCCTGTGTGGTAACGGCATGAATACGGAACACATAGCGATTCATGATAAAGATGGAAACACATTAACGAACAGTGAAGACCGATTAAATAGGTGGAGAGAATATTTCGATGAAATGTTCAACCTAAATACAGTGGTTGATGAACAAAATATTACAAAAAATCCCAAAGCCAATACTAGATCAAAAGGAACTCTCTCATCAGGATGCTGTACCGACTATTAGTGGGGTTGTGAAAGCAATCCAACAAATCAAAAATATGAGAGCTCCAGGAAAACATGAAATATCTGCCGAACTTATAAAAGCTGGCGGGTTGCCTCTCGCTGAATGGTTACATGAAATCATCCGTGATGTCTGGGAACAGGAAATCATGGTAAAGGACTAGACGGTAGCGGTTCTCATACGACTATATAAGAATAAAGGTGATAAACAGATCTGCGATAACTATAGAGGTATATCTTTACTGGTCGTAGCAGAAAAAATTTTCGCTCGAATCTTATTGAATCGTATTCAAAACATGCTAGACAAAGAATTGCTAGAGGAACAAGCAGGCTTCCGCTCTGGCAGATCTACAATCGATCAAGTATTCATATTGAAAATGGTTATGGAAAGATCAAGAGAATTCAATCAACCACTGCACAGATGTTTCATCGATCTACAGAAGGCGTACGATTCGGTTAACCGTGAAGCTCTATGGAGAGTATGTTGTGCATACGGACTATCTGATAAAATGATAAAAATGATCAAACTTCTATATGAAGATGTAAAAGCTGAAGTACGAATTGATGGCGATTTCAGTTCGAGTATCCAAATGAATACTGGTGTCAAACAGGAATGTCTTATATCTCCGATCTTATTCAATGTCTACATTGATTTTGTCATGCAGCAAATACTTGAACAAGCTGGAACAGAAGGTGTCACCATGAATTATCGTCTTGGAGATTTATGGTACTCAGGTCGTGAAAATAACGATGATGTAAAGCTATTAGCTCTCATGTACGCAGACGACATTGCTGTTATGTGTCAAAGTACTCAAGATCTAGAACAATTTATAAAAGCATTCGAAAAAGTCACACAAGATTTTGGTCTTACTATGAATATCAAAAAGACATGCTTTATGTCTCTAAGACAATTTCAAAAGTCAACATGTAACTCTAAAGATAGAACAGAGATAGATGATGAACCATTGGACATCACTATACGCAATCAAAAACTAGAAAAAACAGAAGAGTTCAACTATCTTGGATGCTATGTATCAAAAGATCAAACACAACATAAAGACATTGAAACTCGTGTAAGCAAAGCATCCAGTGCATTCAATAGTCTCCGACGAATTGTGTGGTATCGAAAATGTATATCGACTCAGGCAAAAATAAGAATATTCAGAGCATCAGTACTCCCAGTACTTTTGTACGGAAGTGAATTATGGTCTTTGACGATTGCCGAAGAGCAACGCTTAAAAACATTCTATATGAAATGTCTAAGGGTAATAATTGGAGTGTCTATTGGCAATCGAATGAAGAATGATCTTGTACTTCAGTTAACGGGACAACCAGCCCTTGAAAACATCTTGAGAAGGAACAGACTGCGCTGGTTTGGTCACGTTAACCGTATGAATAACGATTAAAACGGTCCGATGTTAACAAAGAAGACCCTCTTCGCTTCATTCAGAGATGTAAAGAGACCTCCTCATGGTATCAAATTACGGTGGAAAGATAAAATCATGAAGGATATCACCGTATCCAATATTAAAAATTGGAGACGAGAAACACATGACAAGGATACATGGCGGAAAACAATTAATCGTGGTGTTACTTATGGCATCGTTCACACAGATGTTACGCGTATAGTACGAGAACATAAAGAAAGAGCTGTTGACCGTCGAGCACGAGAAGAACTAATGCATTACATACCGAAAAATACAACAACTGATCATAATCGTCTAGATCTCACAACTGAGATACTACATGCACGCAATGTGGACGGATATGTAAAAACAAAAAAGGTCTAAAAATCCATCAACACGCGTGTATCAACAAAAGTGTCATAGATAAAAAGGCTGTTACACAAAAAGTGCAACAATCAATATCAACAACATCACATCGGGCAACGACCTCACAACCGATGAAAATAATAGAATTGTTGTTGGAAAACAACAATAATGAATACATATGTCCAACTCAAACATGTGGCAGAGTCTTAAAGGCTCAAGGTGCTACATCACATGTGAAAGCATGTGTGAAATTGCGGCTGGAAAAACAAAATATTCTCTTTTAGTGGCCAAATTCTGCATGCAGCTTACCATGAAGTATGAAGACGGTTACTGGAACTAGATCCGCTTGTGGTCTGGAGGTAACAGTTTGATGGGAGTCGCAGTAGTTACATGCAGATGATAATCATCTGATGAACAAGATCGATTCGCTCATTTTCAACTTGTGTATGTCCCTGTGTTGTCTCTTATATGTTTTGTGTTGTTTTATATATGTTGTGTGTCGTCCCGTACATGTTGTATGTGTCTTTGTGTTATGTCTTTGTGTCGTCCTTCTTTCTCTTCTTAGTTTTTCGATTTTATTTTCTCCCTTCTTATTTTTATTTTATTTTATTAATTATCATGTCTGTTCTTCGCCTAAACTGGGTTACCGGTATTGGCATTTCTTCTTCTTCTTCTATTGTTGTTTAATATCAAGTTGGCATAGTAAACACAGAGTGTGAAATCACATCATATGCCTGTATTACATTATTGAAACGTAGGAATGTATTGCATTAGGAAAGTTCTCTGATATACAAAGATACTACTGTTTACAATCAGTTAGGTCTATAAAAAACTCAAAATTCAATACTCTGTAGGATAGCGAGTAGTCACAAGCCGAAAAAGTATAGTTGATCCCAGATGCAGCCACGCATCATGTCAACTTATTAAACGACATAAGGAGACCCTATCGAGAGAATTGGCTGAAAAGTAGTGCACAATGTGAGTTAATTATTTTCACAATCATAATCTAACGCTATTTGAATTTTTTCAAGTATGAATATTGAAAAATGTTGTAGTCAATTTCATCCACAGCAAAAAAAAACAAATGTGCCTTGGCTACCAAATGAAAAGTACAATGAATAAAATATTGAATTACGTATACTAGGACTCTGAACTGATATTTCTTAAATAAGAAAATATTTTTTAAAAGCAGTTGAACTAGCCTATAATACAGGCTAAACATTTGTTTCAAGTCTTTTTGCAGACCACTGCATACAGAGATACATAATAGTCCCTAATAATGCGCTGCGTAACCTATCCTAGAGCCTTCAAGAATATTCTCCTTAGTTGACCATTTGATCATGCCTGACGTAACATCACTGGAAAATCCAGAATGTTCTATAACGTTCCAGCAAGTTCAAGATGATTGTAGGAGTCAGGAAGATCCTAGAGCTTTATTGAAGAGTATATATTGCTAGAACTTTCCAGAAACCAAGTATATTTGATTTGGCAGTTGACCCTTAAGTTTTCAACCGGCATAGACTGACACACAGACACACACTGAACATTATATATTTAGATTAGTAAAACTGTGTTGTATTGATGAATGCTTTATATTACTCAACGAGTAAAATAATTTCCGACTTCGCAAATAAATGTTTTGTATAATAGATTGATTAAAGCACAGGTATATCTAGAAAATTCAGACTCAATAGACAAGGTTTTCCTTCACAATATATTTGCACGGAACAGTGTAGATCGTCACTCTTTTTCAAGGCTATTACGCGATGATAACTTAATTTTCTTCTATTTATCTTCTACCATACATTTCAACATATATTTTTCTTTCTTATTTTTCTATACATGTACAATACAGAAAACAATGTAATATTTTATTTATGTCAAACTATATGCTTCAGTACATATGTTTCATTCCTTATTTCAGCATATCCACCTGAAACATACCACTTTATACAGGAAGTTTACGTCAGCGACAGGACCTAGTGTATCTTGTAGAATTTGTTTTGGGTTAACACGTATATAGGGAAACTCCGAGCATTGATGCGCGACTTGAGGTAAAATAAAAATACTTTTACGACGGTAGTGGTGCCCTCTATCGTATTTTCGAAAGAAAAAGAGCTTTTTTAACGTTACTCTTAAATGAACTACTCCTCATTAGATTCTATCTATATTAGAATCAATCTGAAACTTATTGTTGAAGGTTTCATTCATGATAGGTTGTGCTTTGCCATACATGCCTATATTGAGAAAATCAGTTGCGAATGAAAACGATCTCTCACAACATAGACACGTATTGCAAAGCCTATTTTATCATGAATGAAAGGTTCAATTAGAAGCTTCAGATTGATACTAGTATACATAGAATCTAATGAGTAGTTCATTTAAGAATAACGTGACAAAACTCCTTTTTCTTTCGAAAATACGACAGAGGACACCACTATCAAGGTAAAAGTATTTTGATTTGATCTCAAGTTGCGCTTCAATGCCCGGGGTTACACTATATACGTTTTAACCCAAAAAATCATGCTCTACAAAATACACTAGATCCCGTCACTGACGACACACTTCGTGTATCAAGCGATATGTTTCATACGGATGTGCTCACTTTCCAATATCCAGAATATAGAAAATCCTACTTTTTATTTCTCATTCTTTTTATATTCATAGTATAAAGAAAACCTTGTTGTTTATATCTTATTTTTCTATATCGATATTATAGAAAATTGTATTTTTTATTTCTGATTTTTCTATAGTGATAATATAGAAAACAGTATCTCGTATTTCTTGTTTTTCTATATGGATAATATAGAAAATCGTACGTTTTATTTCTTTGTTTTCTATGTTAATAATATAACGGGTGGCGCATAATAAATGGGCCTCTGAGTATTTTGCATCTATTTCACCGATATTTCAGTGCAGAACAAAAAGTTCTTTTTAGAAAAATCTTCCTCGTGAAATTCTCTACAAAACCTTATGAAAAGAGGTGTTCGAACGACTAGCTATGAAGTTATGTCCGGTCAACATTGCAATGCTTCAAAATGACTCACTTTCAATGCAATTGTTTTCATATTAACGATTTTCTGCCGCTCTTTTGACCCCATAGAAAGACTCAATTGGCCATTTTGTAACCCATGAAAAGCTCTATCGCTTCGGCAAATACCTTTTTTGACATGCTCTAAATTTACTCAAACAAAACCTTTTCTTTGTTCCCCTCTGTTCACGTTCTGAGAATCCTCCACTAAGGCTTATCATAATTTTAATTTTTTTATCATAAATGAAAAATTATTATATATTCAAATTTATTACTTAGATGAAGGAAAACATTTTTTCTGTCATATTTCTGCAAGCAGAATGTTTTAAAGTGCTTTTCTGCAACGTTTGATGTGCATAGCATGAACAATTGATGATTCCAACGTATTTTTGTAGAAGATTGATCGCTGTAACCTCGTAATCGTATCTGAATATCTTCTTTTAAGCTCAATTAGAAATAGTACACTCGAAAACACAGAAAACTTGCATTAGAATTAGTTTTCGTGTCTGATTTTCTAGAAGAAATAAAATAATTAATTTTCAAAAATGCGCGTTTGAAAGCGCGCCATTTTGGAGTATTGTAGTGTCGACCTGATATAATTCTATTGCTATTCGTTGAAGCATCTGTTTTCATAAGGTTTTGTAGAGAATTTGACGAGGAATATTTTTCAAAAAACAATTTTTGCTCTGCACTGAAGTATCAGTGAAATAGATACAAAATACTAAGAGGCCCATTTATTATGCGCCACCCGCTAGAAAACACCCATTTCTGTTTGTTATTTTTCTATATTGATAATATAGAAAATGGTATTTTTTATTTTGTTAGTTTTCTATAGTAGTAATATAGAAATCAGTATTTCATATTTCTCATTTTTCTCTTTTGATAATGTAGAAAATTGTGTTTTGTATTTTGTTAATTTTCGATGCTAATAATATAGAAAATTACATTTTGGATTTATCATTTTTCTATATTCACCGTATAGGAAATAAATTCTTTATGTATCAGTTTTTGTAGTCACTATTTCATGGGTTTTATTTTTTAATGGCAACTTCAAGTGTAGGTACCTCTGAATTAGTTCTATGGACGAAAGCTTTCTTGGTTCCCTGAAATTAACTTGAATTATAATTGCCAGAGGAAGGTGCAATATAAGGAATAATGTATATTTGTAAGGAAATCACTGAAAACCCTACTGTATGATCTTGTATGATCATAGAAGATCCTATTGTAGGATCTGATGCGTAGTTTAGTGTACGAACTGACGTAAGATATCTGAGACTGCGTTTTTCAGTACGGTTTTTCGTCTGATCTGATACGATCATACAAGAATCTGTGACTGATCTTACTGTCGAATTTCTCGACCTGAGCGATGTGTTCTATGCCGACCCAGGTCAAAAAAGCAGACGTCAGATCTTACAGACCTAGACGAAATCATGTGAAGATCGTACAAAAAAACCCAGTCTCAGAAATCTTACATCATATCGTACTATAAGATTCTAGAAAGATCTTACCACCGCATGAAACTTTCTACAATCTTAGAATAATATCGTACATGACAGCAAGATCTTTCAAGAATCTTAAAGTACGATCTTATGTAAGATTTCTGAGACTGCCTTTTTTTTACTGTTTTCATCGGATCTTATAAGATCATAAATGATCAGAGTTATGATCTGATAAGATCTTACGCTCTGATTGCTCGACCTGGGTAAGACTGCCCAGGCCAAACAAATAAACCCTAAGATCTGACAAGATTCTGTATCTGCTCTTGCATGATCTTGTGAGATCAGACAAAAAATTGTCGTCTCAGACATCTTACATCAATTCGTACTCTAAGACTTGACAGATCTTGTTGTCCTGTCAGATCTGACTGTAAGATTGTAAAAAATCTCATTGAGCGGTAAGATCTTGCAAGAATTTTATGGTACGATCTGATGCAAGACTTCTGAGACGACAAGTTTTTGTAAGATTTTCGTATGATTTCGTCTGGGGCGCAAGATCTTACCATCTGACTTCTCGACCTGGGTGGGTTCAGTTCTGAATTGACCTAGATGCATCTCGATCTGAAATTATACTACTTCAATATCAGATCGAGCAAGCAGATTATGACAAAAGATCAACCAGTCTTCAGATAAACCTCAAGTTCAGATTCGTATTGATGAATTATAAAACGTTAATAGTATCTTAATAGATACAATTATCGATGAGTGAATCAAGGAATATTATGAGCATTATGGTGTGGGTGTTCGTGAACAAGAGATAGATACTATAATCAAACCTCAAATTTCACACCCACACGCACTCACACCTATAACCCACAGCCAAAAAACATTAAATTACGGTGAGCAACCGTGTTTCCATTTTTTTTTCGATAATGTAACTTGATACCAGTGATTCTAGAAAATATATTAGGAAATTTTAATGAATCTACGCTTAATTAACAGAAATATTCTAATGCATTGTACCCCATAGAAGTAGTCATTGAAATCGGTAAAGCTGGTTTCATATGAAAAAAAAGCAAGACCTATATGATGAATTTTGCGAAAAACAAAATGCAAAATATTGAAAAAAATGTAGACCAGTCGGTATGGGTTCTCTATCGGATTGGACCGGACCAGTTGGTCACCGACCATTTGCCGTCACTGATTACAACATTGACCCACTCCACACACTCGCACCGTTGTCGCCTGGTTTGATCTTAATACATTTATTTTTTGAATGAAAAAAGTTGATGACCATGAATTAGCAACTTGTCAGAAATGTCATGAGATACGGTTCGTAAGTTGATTCATCATTGTCCTACAGCTCTATCAGTTCGTGGTCGTATCATAGCTAATGTTGTTGGACCAACTTGTCGTGCTGGTCTCCAGAATAATAGTTTCTCTTTGACTTTAGACCGAAGTTCAGATAATGATAAACAACAGACAAATGGAAATAGAAATATCACAAAATAATAAAGAAATCCTGTATAAATCAAAGCGACTTTTGCAATATCTTCCGGTAAACCATATTGATAAGCAAAAATGACTACAACCCATGGTACATTGAAGATGATATAGATAGCTGAGATGGACAACAATTGAGTGATCATCTTTTTATATTTTCGCCATCGGACTCCTTGACGTAAACGATTTTTCTTTAATATAGCACGAATAATAAGTGCCATGCTAAAGAACACAATAATCACAGTGGGCAAAAATTGATGAACGATCAAATCCCACATTCCTAATACTGTATGATCAAAAACACAAGGAATATGAAAACTTCCGGATAAGAATGCATCAAATGAACTTTCACAAAATGGATAAAAAAAAACAAAAGAATAATAGATAAGATAATAGATGATGATTGCACCGATTGGAAAATAATGAAGAAAGAAACGTTTGCTTTTCGTCGCTATCCAATGATTATGAAATATAAGTATGTGTCGTTCTATAGTTGCCCAAGCAAACAATTCAACTTGAAGTGAATTAAATCCAAGGTTGATGAAAGACCAGAAGCAATAGAATATATATGATTTTATTACAGGCACACGATTATGATCATTGTAAAGAGTCCATGGAATATTGGTTAATTCATCGATAAGACCAACGATAAGAAGAACAATGATGACATGATTATTGAGTGCACGACGAAGTGTTCGATCAGCAAGAAGATAATATAGATCAAAGAATGTACAGATAAGAGAAAATATATTAAAAAATAGATAAATCCAGAATCGTACAGTCTGAACGGATGATTGAACAGAAAGAGAAATGATGACATCTCCTGACGAATTGGGGTTCATATTGACAGAACTATTGTTTGAGTTCATCGTCTAATAGAAAAAATAAATAATGAAATAAATGAGCAACGATAAGTTGAAGATCAATTTGCAAAAAGTGAGAAAAAACTTCGCTCTTTTGGTAAGTGGTGTGGATTAAATGAGCTCTAAGAGTCAGGCAGTTTATTAGATTTTCAAAGACCGCTTGAAGCCGCACAATGCAAACCCGCGAGTGTCGCCGATCTGTAAATACCTATAAATGGGTATAGGTGTGGGTATCGATCTTATCTTCAACGACATCCACACTCACACCCACATTCACACCCATCATTAAAATATTGTGACACTTACGAGGAGATATTGCCAACTGTCGCATCGCTTTTGAGTCGAGCGTATGCGCATTATGTAGGCCCTAATCATCTATGACTACTTTGGAAAAAGTTCGTGTCGCTAGCTTATTACTGCCGAGGTATTGCATTTTTACTGTATGTTTAAGCAAAGAGCCGTAGTTCCCCTCAGAAACACTAGGAAAACCGAGCTTCGAATTTCAACTTAAAAATTTGCCCAGAAACAGGCCTCAATGAGAATAGTTTATTGTGAAAGTTTCGGATCTTTTGATTGCTACATCCTAAGATACAGCCATGGTAAAATCGCTTATATACATCAGCAGATTTCGATGTTCTTATTTCAGACTAGGAGCTATCCAAAGATCTGAAACTTTTACAATAAACTATTCTCATTGAGGCCTGTTTCTGTGCAAGTTTTCAAATTGAAATTCGAAACTCAGTTTTCCTAGTGTTTCTGAGGGGGACTACGGCTTTTTGCTTAAACATGCAGTAAAAATGCAATATCTCGGAGTGTGGGTGTAAATATGTATGCTTTTCTCTTCATTTCCACCTACACCCATACTCACACCCTCTAGTTCATTTGTTAGAAATTGGGAGCTTCAAAATTCAGTTGTTTTGTGATCAAAAAATTGATGGGAAGTCAGATTTACGACTTAAAAAAATGAAAATACACCTAACAAAAGTTTTGGCTACAGCTAAGGAATTAAAGAAAACCTTGGTGCATCAATCACTTGAAATATGCTGTTGATTTGGATTGACAAATAAACGATTTGCATCAAATTTTAAAGAAAAGTGCTCTATCATTTCAGTCTTCATGCCTTGATCTAATGGAAGAACTGGAATCTGTTGTATTAGTAGAGACTGCAAAAATGTCAGGATATTTTAAACGAGAAAGAAATAGAATGATTCATTGCAAAAAGAAAATACGAATGAATTAGGAAGAGATTTTTGATAGAAGATAAAGACCTACGTAGACATATTTGAAAAGTTTCGCTCATCACAGTATAATTTGAAGAAAGGAACGATTATCTATGCTAATGAGAGTAAAAAAACTCATGTTACTCACCAATATCGACAAGAAAAATATGGAAAGAAACGCAATTGATAGTTCAAAACCGTTAAGAGATAAGAATGAAAAACGAAAGGACAATGCTTTTGATCAATGCAATATCAAAATCAAATGACTTTTGCACGATGGTTTAGCAATATAAGACATTTTTGAGGGATGGTTTCTTATATCAAAAGCTGGAACTTGACGAGAGAAATTCATGGGTTTGCTTTTCATGCGAAAAAGTCTTTAAAAAGTCAAAAAAAAAGAAATTTAAAATATATCAAGAAAAAGAGAAAAATGTTTTTACTATGTCTTTGGAGTGAGTGCAAAAAACAGAAGTACATTTGAACTTGTCATGACCTGAAAGAATACCATAAATAAAGAGTAATTGCATGGGTTAAATTGATGTTGCACGAACATTATTTCAACATGACATGCATTTCCGTTAATCAGAATTTATTGAAATCCTTTCACCAAAACACATAAACGATATATTTAGGATCGCTTTCGAAGCATAACATCTAAAATTTTAATAAATTTTGTCTTTTCAACAGAAGCATTGAGACGGATTTAATTTTTGTTAATACGCAAAGATCTTTTATGCGTAATAACTTGCTTTAAAATATCTCAACTCCATTTTTACTAATTTATTATGTGAAGCATTATGAATCTGTTTTGAAAGAGCTTATCATTTAAAAGGCTTTTTATGACGTCTGTAACTTACAAAACATCATTAGTGATACTCTTTTATCCATTCAACTCCGAACAACAGGATTCTCTGTCGGTTGGATAAACAAATCTATTTTTTTTACTCAGGAAGAGTTTTAAAATATTAATATTGTACGATGTAATCATTTGACATTACTAAAGTAAATAGTCTTTGATTTTATGATATAAGAAAGGATATATGAAGAAAATCTTGGTTTCACAAATAACCAAAGTTATCAGAAAAAGTTTCAAAAATAAGCTTGACTTAATTATCTGCTCACGATGTCATAAACTAGCAATTTATTAAATTAATAGTAGTTCGTTTAGAATTATGTTTTGTTATTTTATATATGATCAAGACAGAGTTATGTAATAAATTAAAGTTTATAAGTGCTCAAAACTCAAGATGGATTTTTGCTTTATCATAGTTATTTTGTTCGGGCTTCTCTGTATGAAAGAACGTAGCAATTATTTATTTCTCCAAAAAATCGTTATTTTATGCTAAAAATTAGAAATGGTTTGTAGCAGAGCAAAACCATTAGCTAATAAAAAAAAGAGATAATTTAACCCATTCTTTCGTTAAATTTATAAATTGTATGTTTGAAACGCTATTTTATTCGTTTACGACTTCACTGTGATAGACAATGCAAATAAAAAATGCGTTAAAACGCATAAAAAATAGAACGCCTTAAAACCTTCAATCAAATTCATAATCATTTAAAATTCTAACCCATAATAAGTAATAAAAATATGCGACTTTATGGCGTTATATTTGCCAGATATTTCGACGCGTTTTTTAATTTAGCGATCTGTGTGAAGAAAAAGTAACAACTCTATAAGAATTCATTTCTTGGAGCAGTCATATTAATTTTAGAAAATATGAGGTACAGAACTGCTGTAAATATCATTTATTCTTAAATTGAAAGTTTACAAGTAACAACAAAAAGAAAATTGCGAGCTTTCAACCTTAACCATCGGTTATCTTCAGGAAAATGATTCGATTAAGTGTTTGTCTATTTATATTTCCATTGTCCGTTTTCGTCTGTTTTTACATAAGCGCTTATGGTGGGTGTGGGACGTGGGTGTAATTGAAGGGAAGATCACAGGCATACTCCACACTCACACTCACACCCACACCCACAACCACCCATACCCAACACTCTGCACTCACACCAACACCCACGTCCATAGCCACACTCACCCACACCCTCACACCCTCAAATGTATCATAAACTTCACTAAGAATCATTTATTGAAATATTTCAAGAAAGACATCGTTGCACAGGAACAGCATTGTCTCACATACTCGATATGTAAAGATGAAGTATATAATATTCTTCTCTATTCGGGTCCCAACTGTAGTCGTGTTTTGGCTTTTTCTTCGTTTATATCACTTCCGATACTAGGAAATACATGTCAGTTTTTCAATTCATTACTTATGGAGTGCCTGCTTCTCTCAGAAGTTAAAACTTCAACCAGGATTATGTACATATCGTTATTATTTTTTGTATTTGCTTGACAAAGATGCACAATACTCTTTTTAAGGTAGTTTATCGCATGAAAGAGGTAAACATCTTTCCACGTGAAACGATGAATAGATAAACCAACTCTACCGCCTTCGTTGGTTACAGATATTTTTAAAAATATTTTATCAGTGCACACGTTGTTCGCCTGTTAAAGTTCCAGCAACTTGAACTTCAAGTAATTTTTTTTGCATTTTTCACATGGTTTGATAGAGTGCCAGCTGCTGATCACGAAGAAACTAGTTTTCAGCGTGAATGGACGCTTTTTACAAGTTCTAAAAAACGAAAACATCGAAGAATGTCGTCTTTCTTGAAGAACACGTCTTTTTCAAAATGAGCAAAATTTTCTGCTTCATTTCTCTGTCAGCTTCTGAAAATATGTTTTTTTTCGATTCAGCATCAAAATCTGAGTGTAGACAAGATGTTAAATCGCCTTCTTCTCTTAAAGTGTTTTGATAGTTGTGCCTCGAATTGTGTCTATTGTAATACGCATGGGTCGTTTTTATAAACCTATCTATCTTTTCTAGTTAAGCGAAAAGTGAAATAATTTATCTCATTCAATTTATCCTACTACCAGTCACAGAGTATGTATCGGTTTTTTCTTTTCTTTTCTTCGTCGAGAAAAATCGTTTTCACTGGTGACACAGGAAAAGGGAAAGGCTATTTTTAAATGAAATGCTTATTTTTTCCTCGAATAAAGTGAAAATTTGTTCGCATAGGTAAAAACTGATGACGAATCGAATAGCCATACTTTATAGGTCTTTATGAGATTCTCAAAGGGTCTATGGAAAATTTTAAACAAAAACATGTTTGTGCTGTTCTGATCAGAATTGAATCATTGTTAATGCAGAATAAAAGTGTTCAAATAGAAAAGAATTTATTATTCTTCGTTTATGTTTGTATTTGACCATCGATGAGCTATTGTATTTTGGGAATGAGTTCTTCGCTTATTTTGTTTAGGCATATGAAACTAACTTAGTTGAGTTGAAAACGATATTATCTCCAAGAAAAACACATAATATTAATGCATATCATTATACTATGGTTTTTATTTAAACTTGTTCATAGACCCTTTGAGAATCTCATAAAGACCTATAAAGTATGGCTATTCGATTCGTCATCAGTTTTTACCTATGCGAACAAATTTTCACTTTATTCCAGGAAAAAATAAGCATTTTATTTAAAAATAGCCTTTCGCTTTTCCTGTGTCACCAGTAAAAACGATTTTTCTCGATGAAGAAAAGAAAAGAAAAAACCGATACATACTCTGTGACTGGTAGTAGGATAAATTGAATGAGATAAATTATTTCACTTTTCGCTTAACTAGAAAAGATAGATAGGTTTATAAAAACGACCAATGCGTATTACAATAGACACAATTCGAGGCACAACTATCAAAACACTAGAGAAGAAGGCGATTTAACATCTTGTCTACACTCAGATTTTGATGCTGAATCGAAAAANTTGAAGCTTTATATCTCGACAACGGCTTTACACTTTGAGCTAAAATTTTAGGTTTCTTCCTAACTTTTTTAGTCCTATCTACTATAGAAATATCAAAAACATCAGTGAGTTTTATTGAGTAAACATAGACGTGGCTTACATACAATGCCTGCTAGTAATCTCCATAAATTACAGTGATTAAAAAGAGAACAACACTCATCTAGTGTTATATATAAATTACAGTTTATCAAACGAAAATAGTCAGCAACAATTTAGCATAATCTGTAAATCGTATTATACATAGGGTACGCCAAAAGTGTTTTTCCCCCGGTTCTTCTAAAAGTCTCAGTTTGAGTTCAAGTATTCTGTTATAATGCTTAGACATATTTAGGATAATGTGGAAAATTTCGGACTTCTAAGTCTTGTACTTTGCTGTAGCCGATCATTTCTTTTACGCTAATAACATGGCATCTTCTATAAGCTACATAGCGGGTGACTTACAAAAAAAATGGCGGAACTTTGTATTTCATATTGTGATCCCTAACAAAATTTTATTTTGAAAACAAACTATACCAGAAGATGCAGGGTGAAAAGCTGTGCAATCTACAATGTAAAGCTTATGTTGATTGTGCATGTTTTGCTTCGAAATAAACAGTATTCTGAGCGACCAATTCTGGACTCTGCGAAAAGTAGTTCAGAGAATTTTGCATTTTTCCAAAAAGCAAAAGAATATAGTTAAGATAAACTGTTGTTTGTAATTTGTAGAGTTTTTCACGCTGCATCCTGTGGTGTATTTTGTCCTTTTTGGAAACACAACATATCAGATGCTGAATAAGAAAAAGCGTGTTCATCGCACACGAAAAAAACACTTTGTTGCAAGGTCAAAATTGGATCGTTCAGAATTTTGTCGATTTTCGAAACAAATAAATGCAACTGTAAAATAAGGTATGTTATGCAAATTGTAGAGCTTTTCACGCTGTATACTGTGGTATGTTTTGTTTTTTGTTTAATAGAAAATATCAGGTAAAGCAAGATGAAATAAGAAAGAAGCGAATTAATCTTTAATCAAAAAAACATTGTTTTTGCAACATCGAAATTTGATTGCTCCCAACTTTGTCGAATTTTTAACACAAAAAATGCAACTGTAAAATTAATTGTCCTGCGTAAATTATAGAGCTTTTCACGCTGCATCTTCCAACATATTTTGTTTTTCTAATAGAAGGAATTTAGGAATCAAAATATGGGACGCAAAGTTCTCTCATACAAGATGGGTCATCCGTTAGCAGACTGCGTGACCTAGCGTAAAAGAAATGATCGACTACAGCAAAGTACAAGACTTTGGAAGTCTGAAATGTTGCACATAATCCTAAATATGTCTAAGCATTATAAAAGAATACTTGAACTCAAACTGAGGCTTTTAGAAGAACCGGGGGAAAAACACTTTTGGAGTGCCCCATGTATTAAGCAAAAGATTACATCTCAAACATTTAAGAGAACCGAAAATATTAGATTTGTAAGTCTTTTTTTCTACGAAGGCAATTTGAAAGTGAAAAATTAGTTAAAGTTAAACAATTTTCAATTTCCGATTTTATATTCGTAAATGACAAGACATGTTGATGCACCCCTCAGTAATTACCGTCCCGTGCCTACGTTAGAGACAGACGACCATTAGATAGAATCCACCCTCAAGACTTAAATGCGTGGTGTTGAATAT